CTTACATGGCAGTGTACAGTTATTTGGAAATTCAACAGATTCGTTTAATAATGACTGGGTGGTCTTGTTGGGTTGTCCATCAGGGGAGGCATATAAGGGTAATTTACATGGGGATAAAAAAAAGGGTGTCTCATAGTATTTAGGTGACTTTGGGTTTGTATGTGTGTGTGTATGTGTGTGTTTGTGTTTGTATGTGTGTGTGTGTATGTGTGTGTGTGTTTGTCTGTGAGCACTATAACTCAAGAAATACCACACATATTCATACGAAATTTTTTCAATGCATTTTCCATCGCCTGAGGAAGAACTGATTAAAATTTGGTTGAATTTGGTTAACAATTGAACGAGAAATGAACAAAATGTTGTCTTGCTTTTCCCGTTCAATTAAAAAAAATTACTGAATGCGTAATTAGGACGTGTATAATTTATGCACACAGTACTAAGACAATATAATGAGATGATAAACCTCATTAAGCTTCAGCCTTCATTATCTATTGTCTTAATTGCATTTCACGCGACCGAAATTCAATGTCTAAAACAAGGCTTACGGAGTTACGCATTATTGCGTTCAGCAAAGTGGCAGTCCATTCAAATCTTAATAACATTAGATTACTTCAATACAGGGTGTATAAAAAAACGCAACCTCTGAATTTCCCAAGAAATCGACATTGTTTTAAAGAAAAATATTTTAGCTGCCTGGGAATTTAAAATGGCACAACTGTCAAAATTACTGCACGCGCGAGTGCATAAAGCAAAATTTATGCATTTATTTAAAGACACTTAATAAGTTTTTATTTTACAAGTACTGTACAGTACAATAACGGTAATACGATCTATTAGCAATTCGATTTCAATTCGCGGGGGCCTAAAATCTTTTATGCTCAAAAATTGCAAAGTGGATTTCTTAGGAAATTCCAAGGTTGCGTTTCACTTCCGAGTAGCGGGCGGAGATACCGCAGTCTCTGAATGCCCTCTAGTTATCTATTGTCTTAGTTGCATTTCACACGACCGAAATTCAATGCGGGCGGAGATATGCAGTCTCTGAGTGCCCTCTAGTTTTACTATAATTGCTTTCGTTCTAGCTCTGTTACCAGATCAACCTTTAAACCTCAAAGTCACTGACATCAAGTCAAGAAGTGCTGAAATATCTTGGCTAGATTCCGCAAACACAGGAGATGGAAATCTTACAGGAGTGTGGATTAAACTGAAAAAAGAGAACTCCCTTATCCTGAAAACTACCACAGATAAAGTCAACAAATACAAATTAGATAAACTCACTCCATACACTACATATGAAATATCAGTCGCTGTTCGAAATAAACATGGTTTTGGTGAAGAGACTATTACTTCGTTCACAACATCAGAAGAAGGTGAAATAGATAAAAGCGTAGACAATTCATAGAATTATTTGTGAATCTGCAAAGTGTGAAGTTTTCTTTCATTTTTGACAAAATCAGCAGTTGCCTTTTTTTACCCTTTCAAATAATATCGTATTCACACCAGTCTTACCCAGGCTCTTTAAGGTCTGGAGATCTCGTGGCTACTTTAGGGCAAAGAAAAACCAAGTGAAAATGTGACGGGTGGGAATAAGCGCGGGTAAAAACCCAGTAGGTAATATCCGATAAGCGGAGCATAGGCAAGCGGTGGAATAAGACAAGGCTCAGGGCTGCAAATTACTGTCGGACATCGGACAATGTCCGACTAAATTTGGCAAATGTCCGAGCAAAAGTAATTTTGATCGGACATTGGTCCGATCACAAAAAAAATTGTCACATTACACATTTTTTTTGCTGTGACAAAATCC